GCCAAGTTCTGTGAGTACCACTGTACCAGTACCAGCCTGGACCTGCCCGCCAAGTTCTGTGAGTACCACTGTACCAGTACCAGCCTGGACCTGCCCGCCAAGTTCTGTGAGTACCACTGTACCAGTACCAGCCCTGTCTCTTATACACATCTAGATGTGTATAAGAGACAGGTGCCGTGTTGTTCACGCGTCAGTGCCTTGTTTTTCACGCGTCAGTGCCGTGTTTTTCACGCGTCAGTGCCTTGTTTTTCACGCGTCAGTGCCGTGTTTTTCACGCGTCAGTGCCGTGTTGTTCACGCGTCAGTGACGTGTTTCTTACGCGTCAGTGACGTGTTTTTCACGCGTCAGTGCCGTGTTGTTCACGCGTCAGTGCCGTGTTGTTCACGCGTCAGTGCCATGTTTTTTCACGCGTCAGTGCCGTGTTTCTTACGCATCTTAAACGTGTTTTTAACGCGTCAACGACGTGTTTTTCACGCGTCTTAGACGTGTTTTTAACACGTCAACGTCGTGTTGACACTCATTTAACTCTGTGTGTTGTGGGCAGCGTGGCAGTGTCGCGCTTCCACTCGGTGCCGCCGTTCGGGCCGCCGCTGCCGACGCCCGCCGTCTTCAGGAAGGACGAGGCCTTCACGTCCTTCCTGCTGGCCAAGGGTGAGGGGTTATGGGGGAAGTGGGGGACGGGGGGCGTCGGCAGCGGCGGCCCGAACGGCGGCACCGAGTGGAAGCGCGACACTGCCACGCTGCCCACAACACACAGAGTTAAATGAGTGTCAACACGACGTTGACGTGTTAAAAACACGTCTAAGACGCGTGAAAAACACGTCGTTGACGCGTTAAAAACACGTTTAAGATGCGTAAGAAACACGGCACTGACGCGTGAAAAAACATGGCACTGACGCGTGAACAACACGGCACTGACGCGTGAACAACACGGCACTGACGCGTGAAAAACACGTCACTGACGCGTGAAAAACACGGCACNACTGTACCAGTACCAGCCTGGACCTGCCTGCCAAGTTCTGTGAGTACCACTGTACCAGTACCAGCCTGGACCTGCCCGCCAAGTTCTGTGAGTACCACTGTACCAGTACCAGCCTGGACCTGCCCGCCAAGTTCTGTGAGTACCACTGTACCAGTACCAGCCTGGACCTGCCTGCCAAGTTCTGTGAGTACCACTGTACCAGTACCAGCCTGGACCTGCCTGCCAAGTTCTGTGAGTACCACTGTACCAGTACCAGCCTGGACCTGCCCGCCAAGTTCTGTGAGTACCACTGTACCAGTACCAGCCTGGACCTGCCCGCCAAGTTCTGTGAGTACCACTGTACCAGTACCAGCCTCTGCCAGTCAAGTTCTGTGAGTACCACTGTACCAGTACCAGCCTGGACCTGCCCGCCAAGTTCTGTGAGTACCACTGTACCAGTACCAGCCTGGACCTGCCCGCCAAGTTCTGTGAGTACCACTGTACCAGTACCAGCCTCTGCCCGCCAAGTTCTGTGAGTACCACTGTACCAGTACCAGCCTCTGCCAGCCAAGTTCTGTGAGTACCACTGTACCAGTGTACCTCATGGTACTGGGGTACAACAGAGGCTAAAATAATTGCTGGTGAATTAAATATTTTAAAATAAATTAAATAAATAAATATGTTGCAATATTAAAGTAACCTGATAAGTACTTGTTCTGCAGGGCACGCTTATTTCTTATATAGGTATTAATCTTTATTATTTTATTAACTTTAAATAACTGCCGATAACTAATTAGTATCAACTGATTCATATTAATTGATTCATGTTCCCCAAACTTGATAGGTACTTGTTCTGCAGGGTACAGATTTCTTACAGATAAATCAATAACACAATTAATTAATTATCATTTTATTAACATTAAATAAATGCCATTAATTCATATTAACTAATCCCTTAAATAACTGCCATTAACTAATTAGTATCAACTAATTCATATTCACTAATGGCTATTCCCCGGCAGCGCTGATGCCATGTATTTCTTAATTTTTTAAAAGTATTTCTTACAAATTAATTAATAACATTAATTAATTGTTAAGTTAATAACGCTAAATAGCTGCCATTAATTCATAATAACTAATTCATATTAATTGATCCGCATTCCCCCTTAGCGCTGATGGGTAACTTCTGGTCCTGCGGGGCATGCTTTTCTTAAAGTATTTTTTAAATTTTCTAGAGTATTTCTCACAAATTAGTACAAAGTAACATAATTAATTATTTACTATGTTATTAACATTGAATAATTTATAATAACTAACCGACATCCCCCCTCAGCGCTGATGGGGTTCTCGCGGGGCCTGAGCAGCCGTAGGGACAAGGCCCGCGCCCTGGCCTTCTGTCCCGCCCCTGCCGTGCCTGGGGCCCTTGCCTGGTCCCTCCTAGTCACTGACTACTCCCTGCACTCCCAGGTAACTCCCTGCACTCCCAGGTAACTCTCTTATGACCTTATGATGAGTTTAGGACGTCGTAGTCCACGGTCACGCTGATGCGCCGCCTTCGTCGTCCTCCGTCTCCGAGTCGTCGTCGGATGTAACGTTGGACGTGTTCCGTCTATTTGCCCTCATTTGGGCC